CACATGTGGTGAAGATTGATGCAGCTCCACATTGTCCAGATGATACAGTATCCATTAGAGTACCGACTGAGATGACGCCAGGCGAGCACGGTAACGGCGAGGAGGATATGGGTACAGATGTACAGGATCAGTGATCGATGGTTCAGGTTTAGGATTCTATTACGGTTCAAAGACAGATGAGAGACATATGAATGTCAGCATGATATACCAACATAGTAGTTGCATATGCACTTCCGGTGGAGAGTATTGATGAGTTGGTGCCTACTACATTCGGAGAGGCAGAGCAGAGTTCGGAGACTGATTCGTGGTAGGTAGCTATGCAGGAGGAGATGGAGTTTCTTTACAAGAACGATACATGGGAGCTTGTTGAGCTTCCAAAAGGGCGGAAGAAAATTGGTTGCAAATGGGTATACACGAAGAAGGAGGGCATTGAAGGCACTCCAATAAGGTTTAAGGCTAGGTTGGTTGTGAAAGGCTATGCACAGGAGGAATGTATTGATTATAACGAGGTTTTTTCTCCTGTGGTGAAGCACTCTTCGATTCGGATTTTGCTAGCTTTGGTGGCACAATATGATTTGGAGTTAGACCAGTTAGATGTGAAGATATTTCTTCATGGCGATCTTGATAAAAAAAATTATATGACTCAGCCATTGGGATTCTGAGCTGCAGGGAAGGAAAAGTTGGTTTGTAGGTTGAAGAAATCATTATATGGTTTGAAACAGTCTCCTCGACAGTGGTATTAGCGATTCGATGGATTTATGATTGGTCATTCGTACACTCGGAGCCAGTTTGATCATTACGTGTATTTTCGCAAGTTGAAAGGAGGTGCGTATATCTATTTGTTGTTTTATGTCGATGACATGTTAGTTATCTCTATTTCTAGGTCTGCTATAGATGAGTTGAAGGTACAACTTTCAAAGGAGTTTGAGATGAAAGATTTGGGTGAGACAAAGCGCATTTTAGGGATAGAGATCGGCAGAAATAAAAAGAAGGACAAAATTTGTTTGACACATGTGACTTATTTGAAGAAGGTTCTACAGCGGTTTAATGTTAGCATGGATACGAAGTCAGTCAGTGTACCTTTGGGAGCCATTTGAAACTTTCAGCTGACCTTTCATCGAAGAAAGTTGAAGATAGAGAGTTGATGTCGAAGACTCTATATGCGAGCGCGGTTGGGAGCTTGATATACGTGATGGTATGTACGAGGCCGGATTTTTCACAAGCGATGAGCATGGTTTCGAGATACATGCATGATCTAGGAGTGAGTCATTGGGACGCCGTGAGATGGATTTTGAGGTATATTCATGGTACCCTCAATTTTGGTTTAGTTTTTGAACAGGACACTAGAGGTGAGCAGTTGTGCATTGGCTATGTTGATTCGGATTATGTCGGAGATTTGGATAAGAGTCGATCTACGACGGGGTATGTATTCACTTTGACCCATACGCCGTTGTGTTAGAGATGCACCTTACAGTCTACGGTGGCTTTGTCGACAATGGGGGCAAAATATATGGCAATTACAGAGGTTGTGAAGGAGGTTATTTGGCTTCGAGGATTTTTCGAGGAACTTGATATTTCGCAGCGGTCCGTCATCATTCATTGTGATAGCATGAGTGCTATCTATTTGACGAAGAATCAGGTTTTTTATGAGAGGTCGAAGCACATTGACGTTCGTTATCACTTCGTTCGAGATGTTCTTGAAGATGGCGATGTGGAGATTGTGAAGGTCTACACGAAGGATAATCCGACGGATATGCTCACAAAGATGGTTCCGAATAATAAGTTTGATCATTGTCGAAACTTGTTGCACATTCATGATTGTTGAAGCCGTTGACGACCATTTGGATGAACTACGGACGGCTTGATCCCTTAGGAGAAAGGGTACGTAGGCAGTCATTTTGATGCAGCCGGTTTGGGTTCTCGACTTGTTGTGGATTGAGTCCGTTGTTGTGGATTTATTCCACTTTATACTGGAAGCAACAAGTGAGACGTTTGTTTGATATCGGTGACGGCTCAGTTTTTGAAAAACTTCACCGAGTTGGAGAATTGTAAAAATGGTGAAAATATTGGTAAAGTTCAGAAAATTTAAAGTGAAAAGGCATTTGGGCCGAGGTCGACCGCCAAACGTGCACGATTACAGGGTATTTTCGAGTTCTGGTCGGTCGACCGCCTGAAACACGATTTTAGGGTTTGATTAATCAGAGATTTGAGATTGTACTGAGCATATTGAGAGGGAGAACTTGTGAACAAGTTGAAAGATTTGGTTTAGTGTTTATTTGAGTGATTTTGCGAGATTGTAACCCTTTGTACTCTTCTTGATTTTGTGGAATCTTCCTATCATCTCCCCGTGAGCATAGGAAAATTGCCGATCCGCAAAGGCGCGCAACGGTTCTCTCTCGCAAATTTCGGGCTTTACAAGAAGCAGCACTAGCCAAGCGTCGACAGCATCTTCCGCAACGAAGCAGGGAAAACGTAGAGTGAGCAAGGGCTTCAGTGTGAGTGCTTTACTGTAACTGACCCGTTGAGTAAGCGATTCAGACAGTTAGCTAAAACTAATTTGAGTAACTTCTCAAACAGGGCCGATGGCCCAGGGCCCCAAACATAGGGGGGCCTCCAATTTATATAGATATCTTTAGTAGTAATATGTAATGTCCAGCAGCCCGTTAGCATTTGTTTTTTGATTACTGGGCTTGGAGTACTTAATTAGGTGAGGGGCTGAGGGCCCATTTAATACTCCGTATATGAGTATATTATATGACCGTTTATATCATAATTGTCTTGCCTTTGCTGTAGGAGTAATTGCTGAGGGCCCATGTAATTGCCTCATTTTTTATTTTCGCCAAGGGCCACCAAAATCTCAGGGCCGGCCCTGTTCTCAAATTGGCTGTGAGGTTCTAGAGCTAGATCTCCTTGTCCGCGGTGCCAAGTTATAGCCTTGCGAGTGGCTTATGTAATTTTAATTTTATTATTAGAGTTATTATTGTACGGTTCTTCTTCTTTGCCTCGTTGTATGATTTTGGATTGCGTCTAATAACTCTCAACGGATATCAGCAGAGTTTTTTGGTTTGGCTGTACACTTTAACATTAGATAAATAACTTTTTAGTATTTGATTCGTTAAAGAATGTACGTTTGATCCTTTTGATTATTAACTATTTGTCTACATTCTACGTTTTAATCCTATTTATTTAACTTGTTATAAAATGTTATATTCATTTCTTTCATTTTGAACTCGCAGTGCAAATCCAGCCCTGCACAAGTACAATTACAAACAATAACGAAAAAACGAATGAAGCCCAATTAAGGGACAAATTTTCAAAACCAACTCATTTGATGTTTTAATTGCAAAAAACGACCCGTTTCTATTTTATTTAGAGAAACCGACCTGGTTTCAGCACTGTCGCTGAAACCAAGTCGGTTTTTGAAAAAAACTTTACGAAACTTCACGGGAGTTCAACTCCCGTGAAGTTTAGTACGTTTTTAAACTTCACGGGAGTTGAACTCCCGTGAAATTTATTTCCCTCAATAAACTCCACGGGAGTTCAACTCCTGTGGAGTTTGTTGTATTGTTAAAACTCCACGGGAGTTGAACTCCCGTGGAGTTACAGGCCAAATTTCCCAGAGAATCGCTTTCTGGGAAATTTACACTGCAACTTCACGGGAGTTCAACTCCCGTGAAGTTGCAGGTTTTGCAAAAACATGCACAACATGCATACGTCTACCTATTTAACTCATATATACAACTATTTACCTGTTGATAATAATTACTGCAATATATATATTATTTAAACACGCACGAATCAAACAATACGCAAAAAGATCACATATCGAGCTATAATTGATCAATAAAAGTATAGCATTTGAAAATTCATACAATTTACAAATTTTAACAAAATAAGTTCAAATACAACCCAATATAGCTCCTCTCCTTCCTCTCCCTCTCTTCCCCCTCCCCCTCGCTCTTCCCCGCCCCCCGCGCTGATGAGCCTCGACGACGTGAGTCTTATGAAACACCTGTGCTATGGTCTTCTTGATCCTGCCGAGGAGCCCTAACGCCACCTGATCCTGAATCTCAGGCACGGTCGCATCAATATCAGCCTTAATGCTATCAAAAGCACGGACCTGTGAGGTAAATAGTTTATTAAGTACCAACTCAAGAAAAAAATATTATAATTTAGCTTAGAAACTTACGCAATCTCTCTCGTGCATCCCACTAGGGATGTAACTGTCTGTCGGTGGCCGTGGCATGTGTCCAGCTAAGGGCTGTGGGTCACGTGTGATCCATCTACGTGTGATATCCCAATACCAACCCATATACGCGATATAGTCAACAGCCGTGGGCCTCGTATCCTGGATGAAATCCCACCTGTGAGCCCACCTGTTTATGTAGGCCGCACGGAGGGAAATAAATTTATTGAGGGAAATAAATTTCACGGGAGTTCAACTCCCGTGAAGTTTAAAAACGTACTAAACTTCAAGGGAGTTGAACTCCCGTGAAGTTTCGTAAAGTTTTTTTCAAAAACCGACCTGGTTTCAGCGACAGTGCTGAAACCAGATCGGTTTCTCTAAATAAAATAGAAACGGATCGTTTTTTGCAATTAAAACATCAAATTGGTTGGTTTTGAAAATTTGTCCCTCAATTAAGACCTCTGACCAAACGGTCAAGCCCAAGTAGGACAAATTTTCAAAACCATCCGGTTTTAAAATTTATTCCCAAAAAAAGACCCTTTTCAACTTTAATTACAAAAACATACCCAGTTGGATGAAACTGGGTCTGTTTTTGAAAAAAAAAATTCAAACTTCACGGGAGTTCAACTCCCGTGAAGTTTGAATTTTTTTTTTTTAAAAACAGACCCAGTTTCATCCAACTGGTTCTGTTTGTGTAATTAAAATTGAAATAGGTCGTTTTTTATAAATAAATTTTAAAAAGGGATGGTTTTGAAAATTTATGCAGCCCAAGTAAGCTCTTATCCTCAAACTCAATTCCAATCGCCGCTCTCTCCCTCCCTCGCGCGCGATGCTCCTCGCTCTCCCGCCGAGCCGACGACGCTTTCTCTCTCTCCGACGCCCCGATGGAAGGTGAGATCTCCAAGCTTTTAAACTGAAACCGAACTATATATATTTTTTCCTTCTCTCTTTTAAATGGAAAAAAACGCTCTTCAACCGTGATTCGTCCGAATTAGATTAAATGGAATATTAATCTCATCAGAGCAGCATCGCTACAAGAAGAAGAAGGAGAAGAAAGCGGACAGACGCAGCTGCTTCGTCACTACAGTCGCAGCGGCCGACTTCTGGGCGCTGGGCCGCGAGACGGGAGCGGGGGGCCCACCCCGCCCGTCGCGGCCCTGGGTCTCGTCCGGAGGCCTGGGCTGCTGGCCCTGGAAGGACGTGGCGAGAACGAGGTTCCCTAGAGGAATTCCCAAGGAGCCTGTGGATCAGTCCCGAAGGACGGTGGCGGGGCTCCGAGGTGGGCCCACTATGCCGGGCTTGGGTCTCCATCGCACTCTTCCTCCTCCGGGAAAGGGCGCTGGGCTCTTCCTCCCCTTGGTTCCCTTACCTCCGCATTCTCCCCGACTCCACTGACTCCCCCATTTTCTGGTGATAGCTCTGATCTTCTTCCCTCTAAAAAAAAAAGGGGGCCCGACCACCAGCTAGATTAAAGTTAGTTCCTTCGGGAAGAAATTTTCGAATTAAACCCATTCCAACTTTTATTTATTAAAAACCGATCCATTCTTATTTTAATTACAAAAATCGACCCATTTCGTAGCCACATCAGCATCATGGCCACGAAATGGGTCGATTTTTTTTAATCTCGCCTCTAAATAGTCGGGGTTGGCAACCCCGACTATTTTGCACGCCCTGACTAATATACAACCTAAATTAGTCGGGGTTGACAACCCCGACTAATTTAGCACACTGTCTAATTGGTCGGGGTTGGAAACCCCGATCAATTTGAAAGCTTTTTCCAAAATGGCCGGGGTTCCCAACCCCGACCATTTAGCAGAGACTTTTAAAGCAAAATACGTGAGAGTTGGCTAAGGCAAAATGATCGGGGTTGGGAACCCCGACCATTTTGTATAGGTGCACAAAGTGGTCGGGGTTTCCAACCCCGACTATTTTGCAGAGCTCTTCCTGTTCACTTTCAGCTAGAAAATCAAACTCCTGTTAGTACATATCAATCCACTAACTAATGGTACACATTTATCAATCTACAATACAATCACAATCACAGATAACACACATACCAATTCATAATCGCAAACATTCATTTCACTTACTAAAATTCCATCAATCGGATACATACCATGCAATTCACATACTAATAATCAATACTCAATCGGATACATAATATTCAGTTTCAAACGATACATACCATGCAATTCACATACTAATAATCAATACTCAATCGGATACATAATATTCAGTTTCAAACGCAAAAAATCCTATCAAGTATATCGAAACTTCGGATACATAATATTCAGTTTCAAACGCAAAAAATCCTATCAAGTATATCGAAACTTAACAAATATTTATAACTCCCTTTCATCTTCCTCTCCCGCTCCCTCTCCCTCTTCCTCTCCCCCTTCCCCGTTCACCTTCGATGTGAGCTCGGATGAGATCCTCGTTCGGTTGTGTGTGAAGTTAGGAGTGCATGACATCCTCGTCGACTCGAACCGGCTGTGAACATTCAGCTTGAGCCTGCTGTGAGCTGTCAGCTTCATCATGTGCACGGCTTGAGCCTGCCCTGTGTGTCCTCGAAACCGTCGACGCCTGTACTCAATTGGTCACTCCTCGCGTCCATCACGTCTTGCATTACGCGTCCTCTAAAGAGCGAACCAAATATTTTTTATCATGCGAAGGAACGTCGTTCGCAATGCATCATGCGCCATAGTAGAAAGCTCTTCGAGCTCTTGTACCTATAAGATAAAAACCGAAATAAAATTATTATCAAGTGGATGATAATAAAAAAAAACTCACAAAATAACTGTATATTTTGCTTATACACTTACCAACTCTCTCTCAACTGGCCTCTTGGTATGTACTTCTTAGGGACTTTGTTCTCCTAAAATATTCACCGGCGAGTAATCCCCCAATACCACCGCAAATACATACCTAGGTCAGGTACGTCAGCCCTCTCCATCACTACTTGTTCCTCCCTCAACTCCCACCTCTCGATGTAAGCATGGGGAATATATTCCCAATTTGCATGATGTGCACATTTTCTAGAATTTCGCTCTATTCTCTCCACATGGTTCAGAATATGTTGTTGCAGTCCAAATTATCGGAGCACACGGTCGGGCACATGCATCTCTACAATCTCAAAACATATGATTGGGACGCCAACACGCCATACATCCTCACATTCCCTGCAAATATCTGGTAGTGACTTCAAAACTAGTTCATATGGCATCCACTTGACCTATAAAAAGATTAAGTAAAGCAGATATTAGTAATAAATGATGTAATGATTGAATATATTTAGATATTATGATTTAATACTTGTTCATCCTCCATTTGATCAAGCTTGTTCCTGTAGAAGTTTTCATGGCCCTTTGGTGAGGTATGCCAAGATCTGGACACATTCCATTTATTTTATATACAATGGGTTAGTATAGATTAAAATAAATGTATAAAATTACATGTAATCATATGTCTTACAAAATAACTTAGTAATACCTGCAGCCTAACGGAATATGGTCATCGAGAGCACGGGTCTCCCTCAAATCTGGGCAACCCAAATGCAATCTCTCCAAAGACCATATATGTAGCAGAGTGAGACAACCCTTGAATTCTTTGTTTTAAACAAGTACCATTTTGGTCATCTCCCTATACAGATACGCTAACACGACACTCCCCCATGATAATTCTCCACAACCCTCAAGATCCTCCAGGAGTGGCAACCATCTCACTTGCATCGAATCCTTCGTGGAATCCGGAAAAAGAATAGTACCGATCATATGAAGTATGTATGCACGGGCATACATCTTGATGATCTTCTCGGTCGCATCGACCGATACATTCATGTAATTGTTTCTCAACCATTCAAGCTTGATCTTATCACCCTTCATGTGAGGAATCCAACAATTCTTCGCACTTCCCTACCCAGTTAAAGTCGTCGCTACCCGTGATAACATCTCCATCCACTCTGAGTCCAAGCAAAACCCTAATATCCTGCAATGATTCGTCGATTCTCCTTGGCGCAGGTGGAATGTATTTGTCTCGGGCCTCCATTCAATCAATACCGTCAAGGGAGCTCAATCAAGTCTCTCCCATTTAATTTGTGAGCACTCAAAGAAGCCTGCTTGACGGACATAAAATTGGACCTATGGGTCCGTCAAGTCCCAACTCGAATGTGCACGAGTATGATCAACGATAGTAATGCTCGGGGCCTGCATACATTAAACAATGCAAATGTTCAGTAACAATCAATAACTTAGAATAATTGATATGATTGAAAATATAATTTACAACTACCAATGTAATTTACCTCCCCAAAGTCTATCTTCGCGGATCGATGTCGATCTTGGTCATAAAGGACCTCATACGTCAATGGACCCGCCTCCATATCTGCACATATGATGATATAAATGTGTGAGTGCTATAACGTATGCAAAAATAAAAGTAGAATAAAAGTACAGATTTCGTATATAATCATTGACTTATAAATAAAGTGGAATAAAATTAAAAATTAAATAAAATGTACACATTAATTGCTATTTATTTGGATTGGTGGGACAATGAGATCTCCTGTGACCCGGTTGACTGCAATATCCACACCTTTTTTTTGGAGCTCTTTCCCGACCTTCATCCATCGTACCTTTTATGCGTGTTATTTCGGGTGTCCGGCTTATCTCTTATATTCAGGAGGTAACACATGCAGCCCGTTATAGGGTGGCCAGTAACGACTATCTATAATGGGATGAAAACACTAATTGTATAAATCTCTATAGTGGCTTGATTGATACCACTCAGAAGCGTATGTGTAATACGATGTATTTGCACCCCCTAAATTGCTTGGTCGTAACCGCTATAACATGTGAACATGGTAATTTTTACAATTCTGGTATGTGCATGCGCATTGTCCCTCGTAAATTAACGGTGTAATTATGCCTGTGATTGTCTTTAACCTGTCATTCATCTATAGTAAATCTAACAATCTTAGTCAATCTCGCCTGCTTGACACGAGCTCCTACAATCTCTTTATTTTTTGGTGTCAACAATGTCCCCCACTTTGCTCCATCTTCTTGCCGTTTGACAAAATAATGATTTAGTCTATAAAATGTCCTCGCAACCAACGCCTGTATGGGCATTGCTCGAGCCCCCTTAAGTACACCGTTCAAACTTTCAGAATAATTAGTTGTCATCATGCAATAGTGATTCCCTTCATCTTTACTTAGTGCCAATCGGTCGACGTAATCACTTCCCAAACTACTCTCAATCCAGTAATGTGCAGCTTGAGATGTTGCCTTGATTTGATCATGTATCCAATCATACACACGTTTCGGGTGTAACACTCGCTTGCCAAAGAAGGTTTTGTAAATGTATCTGGCCAAAGCACTTTTTAAAATTAGCTCTAATGTATCGTAAGCAATAGCGGTGATTGTGATGAGAGCTAAATCTCCTGTACAATGCTCTTGGAATATCTTTCATCCTATCGGATATAAAAGTAATTTTTCTAGGAGGCAACACATTAAAAATATATAATTGAATGCAAGAAAAAAATCACTTCTAATTTTCACTGTTCTCGACCTCCACAACTACGAAGGCCAAAGGAAATAAGTCATCATCTGCATCTACTCCTGTAGCGATAAGCAATACACCCTTATATTTACTGTATAAGTGTGTGCCATCAATGCTAAGAACTGACCGATAAAATTTAAATCCCTCGATCGAAGGACCAAATACCCAAAATACAGAGGTGAATTGATGAACTTCCGGATTGATCTCTTTGGTTATGAGTTTGTATTCAGATCCAAGATTGCTTCTTTTGATCGCATCAAGATATTAAGGTAGTGTCGCGTAAGACTTCTCCCAATCACCAAATATTTTTGTCATCGTAATTTTCCTTGCATTCCACACTTTACTATACGATATTTCAATGAACTTCGTATGTAACACTCTATCAATTATATTATCGGGCCTTAGTTCAAGTTGTTTCTTTAATTTTGACATAATCAACCGAGCTATGTAGGAGGCAGAAGCACCACTGTGATCTTTCTCGAATATTAGATTGTTACATGTGTGAACATCGCAGTATTCTGTGATCCTAAAATATCCATTATGTTTCTTTCCGGTAAATGCATATAACTTCCAAGGACATACGTAATCAGCTTCATTTCCCTCTGCCCGACCTTGCCTTTGTGTATTCATAAAACAGATTGCCTCATAACTTGTGCGATTGCTTTTAATTTGCTTGAATTTGACCATTTTTTTGATTGAGTAATCACGAATAGCATCAACTAATTGGTCTTTAGTCTCGAATAAATCATCAACTCGGAAAAGGACCTCGTCATCTTCTCTATGAGATGAACTTTCGCCAATGCGCATATCTTGTACTGTGGAAGAACGATTCCACTCGTCATTTTCAAACTCGTCGGGGGCTGGTTCTTCGTACTCAACATATTCATTATTAACATAAGGTTCATCGGGCCAATCCTGATTCTCTTCATCATCTTCACTCATAAATTACATGCTGTCAATTGGTGTACTATCTTCATCTTCACCTTCAGAGGCGTTCCTTCTTTCATCCTCTTCAATTGTTACCCCTCTTAACGGCCTCAAATTTTCATAAAAGACTTCATTGTTCATGACATTTGACGTTCCACCGAATGAAGGTGCACCACTGTGATATTAAAATTGAGTCCGCATCATTTCACTTGAAGAAGAAAGAAAACCATCAGACTCAACTCCTAAATCTAGCATGCGTGAGAATTCTCCTGGAGGGTTGAATATTTAGCACGAACTATGTAGCAACTTTTCAATAAACAATTCTATCGTTGGTTGTGGTTTGCTCAAATTAAACATAATATTCATATGATGATCGTTTGAGATCTCAACTGCGGACATTCTATCAAAAGTTATGGGCCAATTGCATATTATTTTTAGTCGGTACTCTCGTGGGTCAATTGCCGTAACTCGATGTAATTCATTAACCAAGTCAAGGTAACTATATGATTCCGATATCATTAACGGGATTGTCACCCCGTTGACATATTATTCATTTCATAATTAATTTTTTCACCATAAGAGCAAGCAATAAAAATCATATTGTTTAACCTATGCAAAAAAAAAAATATCATTTAAATACAAAAATTTTTAAAAATATTATCAATTACAACCCTAAACCCCAAATTACAACCCTAAATCCCAATTACAACCCTAAACCCCCAACTCCTAAACCCTAAAATTAACTCCCAAATCCTAAACCCTAAAATTATGTATTCTATGCCCTAAATGTTTAATTTCAACCGCAACAAGAATAAATTTTCGAAATAAACCACTACAAATAGAGTTCAAACGCTAGAAATTCGTTTTTGAGAAAAAACCCTAGATTTTTACATGTTAAAAGAGGAGAGAATATAGAGAAATTACCATTTAGAAGCTTCACGATGAAATTCGGCTGAAAATTGAGGTTGAAATCAAAATAAGGGTTTGGGGAAGAAAGTTTGAGGGCTGAGAGTTTTTTGTGGAGGAATAGCTAAATAGTCGGGGTTGTCAAACTCGACTATTTAGAGGCGAGATTAAAAAAAATCGACCCATTTCGTGGCCACGTCAGCATTTTGATCACGTAATGAGTCGATTTCTGTAATAAAAATGGGAGTGGGTCGGTTTTTAAAAATAAAAGTTGGAATGAGTTTAAAAAGAAAATTTCTTCGTCCTTCTATTTTCCCTCTCTGAATTTCCCATTTCATGATCCTGCGTGCAGGTCGGAGGAGGAGCTGTTTGAGATACAAGGTTAGCTTCATTCTTCTTCTTACCAATTTCCCGTAAGATTCTTTTTTTATTCAAACTTCTACTCTTAATTGGAGGGGCTAATTCCAGTATTAACTTAAGAGCTAAGGGACCTAATAGCAATTTCAATAATTTGAAGAACTAATCTTGAAATAACTTAGGAACTGGGAGACCTAACGGCAGTTTCAATGACTTGACGGGCTAATTTCAAGGTAACTTTGGAACTGGGGGACCTAACAGCAATTTTCAATGATTTGGTGTATTAATCCCAAAATACGACAGATTTAAGGGACTAACATCAAAATATCCCTAAAATAGGATTACTTAAATACGAACTTCGTAAACGAGTAGTTATATATCCTTTTCATCTGTTAAATTTGATAAACGATTTAAACTTTTTCTTTTTTTAATAAAAGAACTTGTATTTTCAATCGAATTAAATCAGCAAAAGCCAGCTGGGCTACATTCTCGAGGTAGTTATCAAACCATGAGCCTAGTGTATCAAGTGAAAGTCCATATTTGACTAAAACATGAGCTAGATTGCTGCATTCCCTTCAGATGAAGACTGGGCATGCATCCTCAAACGCGAGTAGATCTTCTTCGCTTGTGTCGAACACAATCTACTTAATTCTAAACAGGGCAACAGTAACAATCATTCAAACAGTCCAATTGATATAAGGTAAGAACAAGGCTAGAAAAACACACTGCTAAAATGGGTTATTTAGGATATTTTTTGCAAAATGTTACCCGCCAAATTGCAGGATGGAATTCTGTTAAATTTTTTGTTATTATTAGATCCATGATTTTCATAGAACAATGCAGTTTTTCCTGTAACATATTTGGTCTTTGTCATATTTTTTGAAGGAACTCAATTGTTAAGCACAACGGAGGGTGTCAAAGAGTATGTCCAAGGCGAATTCATCAAAGTGGAAGATGAAATCATAGTTCCTAATCAACATCTCTTCCCATCGGTCATCACCTTCACAGATTTCCTATGGGCGTTTGGAGTACTCAGATCAAGGGCATTTTCGGGTCTTCGGGGTGAAAATCTTGTTCTAATTCCCCTAGCTGACCTTGTAAGATTTACTTTGTTTTTAGGTAAAGCTTGATAAAAAAAATAGTTTTCATGCGTGAGAATTCTCCTGGAGGGTTGAATATTTAGCACGAACTATGTAGCAACTTTTCAATAAACAATTCTATCGTTGGTTGTGGTTTGCTCAAATTAAACATAATATTCATATGATGATCGTTTGAGATCTCAACTGCGGACATTCTATCAAAAGTTATGGGCCAATTGCATATTATTTTTAGTCGGTACTCTCGTGGGTCAATTGCCGTAACTCGATGTAATTCATTAACCAAGTCAAGGTAACTATATGATTCCGAGATCATTAACGACGTTGTCTCCCCTCCGACATATATTGGCATATTATTTATTCCATAATTAAAATTTTCACTATAAGAGCAAGCAATAAAAATCATATTATTCAACCTATGAAAAAGAAAATTATATCATTTAAATGCAAAAATATTTAAAAAGATTATCAATTACAACCCTAAACCCCAAACTACAACCCTAAACCCCTAAATCTTAAACCCTAAAATTGACCTCCAAATTCTAAACCCTAAATTTGAGTATTCTATGCCCTAAATGTTTAATTTTAACTACAAATAAAGGAGAGAATGTAGAAAAATTCGTTTTTAAGAAAAAACCCTAGATTTCTACATGTTAAAAGAGGAGAGAATGTTGAAAAATTACCACTCAGAAGCTTCACGATGAAATTCGGTTGAAAATTGAGTTTGAATCCAAGATTTGTGATAAATATGGGTTTGGAAAGAAAGTTTGAGGGTTGTGAGTGTTTTGGGGCTGCTGGGAATGAGGTGGGGAGGTGGGGAGAACGATTGGGGGTTTTTATAGGGGTCGAGCCCAAGGACCAAATAGTCGGAGTTGCCAACCCCGACGGTTTATATAGGGGCGGGCCTAGGGGCCAAATAGTTAGGGTTGTCAACCCCGACTATTTGGTCCCTTAGCCATTTCCAGCTCGACTCGTCCGCTAGGGACAAGTCTCGGCTAAATGGACGGGGTTTCCAACCCCGACCATTTCGAAAAGGTCTTTCGAATTGGACAAGGTTCCCAACCCCGATCAATTAAAGAGTGTGTTAAATTAGTCGGGGTTTCGAACCCCGACTAAATTAGCTTATACAATAGCTAAATAGTCGGGGTTGTCAAACTCGACTATTTAGAGGCGAGATTAAAAAAAATCGACCCATTTCGTGGCCACGTCAGCATTTTGATCACGTAATGAGTCGATTTCTGTAATAAAAATGGGAGTGGGTCGGTTTTTAAAAATAAAAGTTGGAATGAGTTTAAAAAGAAAATTTCTTCGTCCTTCTATTTTCCCTCTCTGAATTTCCCATTTCATGATCCTGCGTGCAGGTCGGAGGAGGAGCTGTTTGAGATACAAGGTTAGCTTCATTCTTCTTCTTACCAATTTCCCGTAAGATTCTTTTTTTATTCAAACTTCTACTCTTAATTGGAGGGGCTAATTCCAGTATTAACTTAAGAGCTAAGGGACCTAATAGCAATTTCAATAATTTGAAGAACTAATCTTGAAATAACTTAGGAACTGGGAGACCTAACGGCAGTTTCAATGACTTGACGGGCTAATTTCAAGGTAACTTTGGAACTGGGGGACCTAACAGCAATTTTCAATGATTTGGTGTATTAATCCCAAAATACGACAGATTTAAGGGACTAACATCAAAATATCCCTAAAATAGGATTACTTAAATACGAACTTCGTAAACGAGTAGTTATATATCCTTTTCATCTGTTAAATTTGATAAACGATTTAAACTTTTTCTTTTTTTAATAAAAGAACTTGTATTTTCAATCGAATTAAATCAGCAAAAGCCAGCTGGGCTACATTCTCGAGGTAGTTATCAAACCATGAGCCTAGTGTATCAAGTGAAAGTCCATATTTGACTAAAACATGAGCTAGATTGCTGCATTCCCTTCAGATGAAGACTGGGCATGCATCCTCAAACGCGAGTAGATCTTCTTCGCTTGTGTCGAACACAATCTACTTAATTCTAAACAGGGCAACAGTAACAATCATTCAAACAGTCCAATTGATATAAGGTAAGAACAAGGCTAGAAAAACACACTGCTAAAATGGGTTATTTAGGATATTTTTTGCAAAATGTTACCCGCCAAATTGCAGGATGGAATTCTGTTAAATTTTTTGTTATTATTAGATCCATGATTTTCATAGAACAATGCAGTTTTTCCTGTAACATATTTGGTCTTTGTCATATTTTTTGAAGGAACTCAATTGTTAAGCACAACGGAGGGTGTCAAAGAGTATGTCCAAGGCGAATTCATCAAAGTGGAAGATGAAATCATAGTTCCTAATCAACATCTCTTCCCATCGGTCATCACCTTCACAGATTTCCTATGGGCGTTTGGAGTACTCAGATCAAGGGCATTTTCGGGTCTTCGGGGTGAAAATCTTGTTCTAATTCCCCTAGCTGACCTTGTAAGATTTACTTTGTTTTTAGGTAAAGCTTGATAAAAAAAATAGTTTTTATTGTGCTCTTACTCATCTCTTCCTCTTATACGTAGATAAATAACCTTTAGGTCAACGAAAGGAATATTCTTCTTTTAGTATCTTGGAAATTTGAATATTTAACGTTTATTATCCAATAGGAGAAACTTAACATATGCTTTTTTGTTTATGAACCCAAAGTATTACCCTGATTTATTTTAAACCCACCCCACTCCCAAATTGCTTTTGGACTCGGGTACAAAAAATTCATTTTATTTCTAGACCCAAATTGTTGTATGCCAAAGTTATACACCGTATTTCAAAAGAATTCTTTCTGGGAAAAATTCAGATAACCTCGATTTCATGTGTTCTAAAATGATTATCTATATGGTAGTGAGCCATAATGTCACGATAAGATTCTTTTGGAAGCTAGGAAATTTTAAAGAATTCGTTGCGGATATGATTTTTATTTTTAAGTGCTTGGCTCATTTCAGTTGCGTTCTTTTGCATGTTGCATTAGAGTAGTTGATACTAGTACACTTATATTATTATACTAGCGGACTGTTGTGATCCCAAGCTAAGCAAGGGTGTCTCTTGGGAAAACGTTCACTTGGATGACAACTGCTAGTTAGTCTGACGAGATTGATCACTCGTGAAAAGCACAAGAGTCGGGAGGGGTTTTGACAATGATGACTCCAAAAGTGATTAATCGAATACCAAATATGAGAATGGATGGGTTATTCTGTGTAGCAATTTCGATCTATTTATCCTAGCTGACCATAAGATTCACATAGTTTTGGGTACAATTTCGTAAAGATGGTTTTGGTTATGCTCTCGCTTCCTTTTGCTCAGACCCAGATAGATACCAATTTGTTTTCTTTGATTTTGAATTTGAACATTAATCTTTACTTTCGAAAACTAGGGAGTTAAAAATAGTCATACACGGGTAACTCTAGGATATGAAACCTGACGCTTATTTATAATTAAAATTGGAGGAAGTGAGGATTGGGAAGTTATTATGAACCTTTTCATCTCCCATTCTATAAGCCTCCATTCCATGCTAGTGAGCCATTGTTGAAAAAAAAAAAATTTCTTTCTATCTGCTAGCCATAGCCTTTAGCATATAGTACTGGTGTTATTGATACTAATAAGTGCTTTTCTTCTTTAAGTTGAAATTAGAATTTTCCATAAATCCCAATTTTATTATATTTGGTGCGTCTGGTTCAGGTTAACCACAATCCAAGTATCACTTTAGAGGAACCTTCATGGGAGATCAAAGGAAAGGGCCTATTCTCCAAGGAACTTGTATTCTCTTTGTGGACTCCTGTCTCTGTCAAGGCCGGTCAGCAGGTGAACTCCTGATAACTTCGTTTATCATTATTTAATTAGTTGGAAAATTTTAATATCATGCACCAATAACTCTTAAATTAGTCATATATTCTCTAAATTGAAAATTTCTCAGGTATATATACAGTATGATGTAGAAAAGAGCAACGCTGAACTGGCTCTTGATTACGGATTCATTGAATCAAACTCTGATCGGAATGCATATACGTTGACTCTGGAAATTGCTGAATCAGATCCATTTTATGGAGACAAATTAGACATTGCGGAGTTAAATGGTTTGGGAGAAACTGCATATTTTGACATTGTTCTAGGTTGCTCACTTCCACAATCAATGCTCCAATACTTGCGGTTGGTATCACTCGGAGGGACCGATGCTTTTCTTTTGGAATCAATTTTCAGAAATAAAGTTTGGGGCCATCTTGAATTGCCCGTGAGCCGTGCCAACGAAGAGATGATTTGCTGCGTTGTTAGAAACGCATGTAAAACTGCCCTATCTGCTTACCACACTACAATTGACGAGGTAATTTTTTTTCTTGCCTTCTCTCTCTACCTTAAGCAAACTGCTATGCGTAGTAAATTGAAACTTTTCCTACATGTTGTTGTCTTGGTTGGATATTTTGTCTTTTTTGTCTAATGAGACTGGATTTTATTTGCTTCGAAGAGGAGGAAATATATTTGAATATCAGTGATATTAACGTACAAGAAGAAGATAGTATTGATGTGGTTATATTCACATGTTCCGTGCTTTATTTACATCTTCGTGCCATGCCGTTTGGTGTTGTTACGGGTGACCTGAGATTAATGTATCTACACGAATAACCAACCCTTGAGATTACTGATTGAGATACACAAGTAAACCCTGAGTTACCTAAGATTATGTTCATTAGGGTTACCCGTGTAATCCCAATCAAGAACCGTAGGGTTATCCATGTAGATGCACAGACCTTAGGCTCACCTGTGAAATTTTACAACACCACACCAGGTACAGGGGTGTAAAATTATCCTTAGAATTGGAAGGTAGATATCTGGCAACCTCTCCTAGTTAGAGCTCCCCTCGTCTAATTAAGTTCGTAGCATCTGAGATGTGTAGCTATCCGATAAAAGCTTCAACTATTCAAGTTCCTCTTGTTTTAATGTGTGTTAATTTTTCAGAGTAACAAATGATGTAATTTGCAGGATGAAAAGCTTATGGAAGGGGGACATATGGAACCAAGACTTAAGATGGCGGTAGGCATAAGAGTTGGGGAGAAGAAAGTACTCCATCAAATTGATGAAATCTTCAGAGGGAGGGAGTTGGAATTGGATGAGCTGGAATACTACCAGGAAAGAAGGCTCAAGGACTTGGGATTGGTTGGGGAGCAAGGTGAAATAATATTTTGGGAGTGAGGAGATAGAGGGGTTTAGGTATCATCATTACGAGTGTTATTCAAATTCCTTTGTAAATTTTACATGCTTGAGTTATAGATATCATCATTCTTTTGGCTATTTGATGCCCAAGCCCTTTTTTTTTGGCATAGTTCCAATTGTGTGATGCTTGTGAATTTAGTGGACCTACATGATTTTGACAAAGACATTAGTCTGTTTCTTTATGGTGCAACATGTTCCTCGGCTATGAAAAGATTGATGGACTGAGTAATTGTGAAGGTTTGGACCCAATGCTAATGGTGTTATATGTGCATATCTACTCTATATCGTATTGAGATTTATGGACCGAGTAATTAAGAAGGTTTGACCCAGTTCTGAAAGATTTTTTGTTTGACAAGAAAGAGGGTTAGATCTGATTCTATTTTTATTGGTCAAAATATGGTATCTACACCAGCTTTCTTTTGGACCAGGAGGGCTGGTTCAGAAGAAAACTGGTTGAACACAAAAGTGGGTCAGGACTGGTCCTGGCCTAATTTGTGTAGTTTGTCATACACACTCTCACATGTGAACTTGGGTATGGATAATATTAGGTAATAGACATGTCCATCCGGGCTAGCTCCGGGTCGGCCTGGATTTTTTAACTTTTTTTATTTTTTTAAAAAAATCTCTTTAAAATTTATAATATACATAAAAAATTACAGAAAATGCTAATAAAAAACAATAATATTATTAATAACTTGAAATGACATAAATTACAAATACAAAAAATTATAAAAATAAAAGATGATAAAAATAACTTCTTTATTATTCCTTTACAAGTATAAATTTATTTCAGAATTCGTCGCATCACAATAGATGAGTACATCCCAACTAGGTTGGCACCTACTCACCTATATCACTACCATTTGTAACTGTTTTCAAAATAATTCATTACAAATTTAAAGCTAAGAAATAAAAATTACAATTTGATGAATATTGTTTAATCTTTATATCTATCTATTAGTCCCAACTCTTCAAATTTATCTTCAATTCCAGTCATCCGATCGATGTCTTGCGTTCACTTCTCGTACCTCCACCAATCTTGTAAGCACATCACCGCTTGTACAGTATACAGATCTAAGCATGTCATGTGGTCGTCGATCAAACGTCCTGCTATGCAGAAGGCGGATCCGAAGCTACCGTCGAAACATGCACTTTTAGTAAATCACGAACCATGGTGGAAAGTATAGGATATGAAACTGATCCATATACTCTCCACCATTGTAAAATATCTAAACTGATCCATATACTCTCCACCATTGTAAAATATCTAAAGTATTTCCTTGACATTTAACTAAAGAAGCAGATAAATATTCATCTATTTCAGAAACCTCTAATGATGATCCAAGTCCAGATCCACCAGTTAGCTCAGCTACCATTGCATACCTATCAAAACTTACACTTTTACCTCGGTCTGAGCTCGAAGGCGTCGAAGCTGTAGACCGTTGTGCAGCTACACCATGTCCAGCTACATACTCATCATATAAGGTTTGAAAATAATTTTTAATAGCTAAATGATGAGAAGTAGCATTAAGGATGGATCCATCATCTAAGTCTATAATCTGTCCACCATACAATGATTATAACAAACTTCGAAGGCCAATATCCTTCAAATATGGATCAATAAGAACCCTCAAACCACAAATATAAGGAATATGTCTAAAATACTTATTAAATTTGGTCTCCATTTAAAAAATTATAGCTCCAAAAGTATCATTCATACAATATTTGTTAAAAAAATTTGAAAATTTAAAATTTGTAAAGCAGTTAAAGTAATAGTTGGATAATAACATCCAGATAATAACATTGTAGCATCATAAAAAACTTGTAACATCTCATTTAAATTACATATAATTGTCCATTCATTTTTAGTTATTCCATAAGTGCTACCAGAGCTAGAACTAGAAGCATAATAATTTATAAAATTATTTATAATTTTTTTATATTCTATTGCCACATTTAACATTGTATAGGTGTAATTCCACCTATGGTCAACATCTTTTAGAATTAGTCTGAGCTTATAATTTTTTCTTTTACAAAATTGTTTTCATCTTTTAATTCTTTGTTCAGAAGCATTATGCATATTAGCAACTGTTCTAACATTTTCTATCATGGGTTTAATTTCAAAAAATACACTTTGAACAATTAAATTTAAAATATGACAGAGACATCTAATATGGAAAAAAGATCATCATGACGTGGTAATGACAGAGTTGTTTTGATAAAATCAATAGCTACATTGTTATTACTTGCATTATCTAGTGAAAGGGAAAATATTCTTTGATCAATTTCTAGTTTCATAAGTTCTTCAATTATTAAATTTACAATATTAATACCAGTATATGACTCTTCAATTATAATAAAAGATACAACTCTTTTAAACATTTACCAATTTTCATCAATCCAGTGTGTTGTGATACATAAATAACCAATTTGTGCTCTAGATGTCCAAATATCAGAAGTTAAAGAAAATTTACAGTTAAAATTTTTAAAATAAGAAATTATTTTTCCTTGTTCCTCCTGATAATGTTTTAAAATATCATGTTGACAGGTTTGACGAGAAAATTTTGTAAATGCGGGATAAAAACCATCTCTAAACATATCTTCAAATTCATCATTTTCTACTAATTTAAAAGGAAGGTTTTTAAGAATGATAAACATGATTACGTATTTCCTGGCTCGGGCAGCATCATAATTCCAGCTACCGAGACTATCAGAAGAGGAAGATTGGGAAATCATAGATTGTCGGATATCACATTGAGGATTCTGGCCTTTGTTGTGTTTTTCTATAAGACGTTTGAGGTGGTTGGTATCACTCTTATGATGAGCTTGGAAAGTCTGGCCGCATAACGCACATTTAGCCTTCTGGGTAAGGATCCTATAGTGTTCATCCTTGGTCCACATAGCGGATCTCGGCCTTTTAGGAGCTCTTGGTGCAGATTCGTTGCCACCGGATTCGGGATTAACACCGGTAGGATCGGTAGGAGTAGCTGTTGTAGGAGGACTCATTTCAAGATCGGTAGGAGATAGGTTATGCTCTTCATAATCAGATTCGGAAGCCATTTGATAGAAGGATTAGAAAGTATAAGAGATTATTAGAGAGTATAAGATTGTATAAAAGAGTATTAGAGAGAAGTAGATGAGTTTTGATGTGAGGAGAAGAAGTGAAACCCCCCTCTATTTATAGAGGCAGCCTCCTAAGAAAATGACAAAAAAAACCCTCACAAAATAACCGTTTTTGATCATTTTTAGGGGAAAAACGATCAAAACGGCCAATATGACCGTTTTGGCCGGGCCGGCCGGCCATCAACGGTCAACGTTCGTGAATCGTTTTCACGACGGCCAAAACACGGCCTCACCTCTGTGACGCGCCTGACCGCCCACAGCCGGGCCGGGGCCGACCCAGCCAGGCCCGGAGCTTTGCCGCGCAAACGGTCACCTAGGGTGACCGTTGCAGCGCCCGCCGAGCTCCACCCCGGGTCCGGGCCGCCCCGGCCGCCGATTATTTTGTGCCCGGACCCCGCCGGCACTGTACGCCAGGGCCGGCGCCAAGCTCGGATCCGGTTCCCGCCGTCAGAGTTGGTCGGCGGGTCTAAGACCCGCTTCCCGGCCCCGGGCCCCGGCCCGGGCCGGCGGGCTTTTTGGTCAGCCTTGTTAGGTAAGGAAGTGTAAAACTTTTGTCCAAGGTAACCAAATATGAACTAAATTGAATTTCTGTGAAGGCCACGTGCAATACGAGGGACATGATTGTTGATATTATTAATGCAAATAATTAGGGGAAAATGCTTCCATGCATCATATTGTACATCTTGATTCATATTTATGGAGCGTACTTGCGGAAAGAAGCATGGAGCACACCACAAAATTAAATTGTCAATTCCAATTCACTCGTCAAAGTTGATGAAACCAAAGTCCATCTCAAAAATCAATCCAAGCATGTTTATGTTAAAAGTTGGGTGATAAGTAAACCCAATCCTGAGAATGGAAACATGCCAAATAATTAACAAATCTACTCTATATACAAATGAGAGAACTAAAGATTTACTATTCATATTACAGTAAATGTTACCGGAGCATTTATTGTAATATTATTACTGTAGCAAATAGGAAACTGATAAACACCTTTTTGAAAAAACACTGTAGCACACGGGAATACTATAGTATTTTTAAAAATCGTAGAAAAGGTGGGAACTGTAGCAATTCAAAAAATCTAAAATTTATTACTACAACATTTAAAAATTGGGATTACTATAGCGGGAAAAATGATACGTCGTGCTTTGCACGGTGTTCACGACTAGTAATTCTTTAATTCGAAGTCCCGTTATTTGATTATAATCGATTCGGTTGTTTATTTAATAGTAAACAAATAGGTTTTAGCATCCAGTTCATAAACGAATAGAATTAACCAAATCTATTCAACTCATTTAATTATTATATAATCGTTTAGAGTTTCATCCCTGATATTTTTTTTTACTATTGCATATATGATGTTATGTTTTCGACTCATTTACGTTTTGTATTTTAAGTTTTGTACTAATTTTGACAAACTTAAAGAGTCATATGTCAGTTTTTAGAGCAAATTTCTCTAACTAAATAAAAATATTTAATCACTCTTATGGTTTAGTACTCACAAACTACAAATTACTAATAAAGAAAATATATGTAATATCTTATATATATTTGTGAATGTTAAAAAAATATATTCTAGATCTAGAGAGTGATATCCATATTTTTAAAAAAAATTAAACAAATACAAATATGAACACCGACGCATTTAATTCTGTTCAATTCGTTTAGTGTCCTACTGGTAGGGGTGTCCAAAAAGCCCGCCAGCCCGGGCCCGGCCTCGGGCCGGAAACCCGGGCCAAGTCCGGGCTCCGGGCCGGGGCCGGGGCCGGCCCGGCCCGAAATAGTGAATTTTTTTAAATTTTTTATATTTTTTTATATGTATTATATATGTATATATAAATATATATAATATGTATAATATATGTATATATATAATATATTTCTATATATGTATAATATGTCATGTGTGTATATATATACTATCTCTTAGTATATAAGTATATATAAGTATACTCTCTCTTATATAAGTATATATATGTATAAGTATATATAAGTATACTTTCTTTTATATAAGTATATATAAGAATACTCTCTCTTATATATGTATAATGTATGTATGTATGTAT